AGGAGCGGTTGATGGTTTTGAACCGCTAACTTTGTGGCTCATAGCCCAAAATATAACCACTACGCAAGCCACCAGGGCACCTGGTTCCTGCCCACAGGGATCTCGATAGGTGCTCTTTGGACTCTGATGCACTGGCAAGTTGGGTTTAGTCAGCGTTTTCTGTAGAATCGGAAGCAAGGTCTTGGAGGTGCTGTAGGCAAAGTGTGAGCCTGGGATGACCGCTGGCTCCTGGTGCAGGGCGCCCTGCGTGGCTCCTTTCCTGACTGCATGGGAAAGGAGTGGGAACCGAAGACTGATTCGTTCACGGGATGGAGCGAATGCTCACTGACAGCTGCGATGAAGGAATAGTCCCATCAGAGTCTTGTAGAATTGCTAGCTGCCCAGATCATTCAGCCCCGTAGAGGCCAAGTTCAAAGCAAGCCCACAGCACTTTCTTTCTTGTTGTTGTTGTTGTTGTGAGGATTCTTTACACCTGCCATAATGAAAACACAAAGCAACAGTAGCCTAAGGGACGAAACATTTAGAAGCACAGAAAACATATCTATCTACCTTTCCCACTCTGTCAGGTTAGCTTGAGACGTTAAAGCTGATGTCACCCCCGAGGTTTAGCCTAACCAATTCTGGGATATTTTCTTCCAAGAGGAGAAATCCTATCTCCTGGTTTTTCTTGCAAAAGAAAACATTAGCAGCGTTAACCAGTCCTAGCGTTTCCTACTCTGGGGCCCCTACGTGGGCTACAGTGAGGGTGTAGACATCTCTGTTTAACCGAAGAAGTGAGCTCAGAGGCCCTCTTCAACCCACTTAACCTTCCCAGCAGCCCCAGCGAACCAGTCATTTCTGGCTAGCAAGCGGAGAAGCTCTGCATGCCCACTGCATCCCTGCCTACAATATGCAAAGTCCAGTGGGTGAGGAAGGGGAGAGGGGGTCCGGGTCACCCCGCAAGCTTGCTGGTGACAAGTGAGGACGTTCTTTTGGGCAGATCCTGGGGGGTGAGGATGTGGTCACCAGTCACCAAGTTCTTGTCTGGTCCTGCACTTGGCAGCTGCTTATTCTTCATCTTGGCTTTGGCCATGGTTCAGTCTCCTTCGTCAAAGTGCTTTTGCCCTTTCTGGAGTCTCTTCCTGGGGAAGTCGGAGCCTCCAGGCTTTTGTGCCAGGCTTGGGTAGTTGGCCTTTAGCTTTGCCTCCTCTGCTCCCTCAGGGAGAATAGCTTCCTTCTCCTGCATGTCCTGCTTCTCCTCGCCGTCTCCTCGGAAGGGTTCGCCTCTTCCTGTTTCTGGGACATGGCGGACCGGGGCTGTGGAGCGTAGAGGCCCCAGGAAGTCCACCGGATAAGGGCAGGGGGAGGGGAATGGGGACAACCTGCGCTGCTGCCTCGGTTCCTGTCACTAGGGTTGCCCGGTCAGAATGGCCGCCCACAGTGCTTCCTAGTAGCTGTCATGCTACCAGTAAATCCAGAGGATGATTGCGCCTTCCCTTCTGCGGCGTGACATGAGCCAGGGCTCAATCCCGTTGGCCCTGATGGAGCATGGACCCCCAACCCCCAAAGTCTGGCACGCCCTGCTGCCCCTCTGTTTTCACTCAAGGAGTTGCTGTCTACAGCCTGCCATGCAAGGACGGGCTAGTTTCCTGTAAGGGGGATGGGACTGGATCTTAGCGACCAGCATGCCGCATCAGCCTTTGTACCTGGCCTTTGTGCGAGATGCCTAACCGTCTACTCCTAAAAGCCCAATATGTGGACTGCTCTGGTGTTTTCTGTTCACAGACGACAGGGCGTCCAGATTAGCATTGGTCCCGGGTGGGGGGGCTCTTTGAATTCACAGTCAGAGGGGAGAGTGGACACGCGTTTCAGTCTGGTATCGCTGCCCCTGCCCCCTCAGTTTAGCAGCCTGCAGAAGGAGATTGAAGAGCGAGCCAATGACATTGATGGCCTGAAGGGCGAGCAGGTGAAGCTGCAAGGGGTCATCAAGTCCCTGGAGAAGGACATCCAAGGCCTCAAGCGGGAGATCCAGGAACGAGACGAGACGATTCAAGATAAGGTAAAGGCTGGTCCTCTGCCCTCCCTCATTGCAGCCTGGGGCTGAGGACAGGGAGGTCCCTGGCTTCCTTGATCACATGATCAAGAGGAAAGAGTGGTTTAGTATGGACTGTGAGGGTGTGCTAAGCTGCTAACTTAAAGGTCGGAGCTCCAAGTCCACCCAGGAGCACCTCAAGAGACAGGCCTGGCAATCTCCCTCAAATCAAAACCCTCCGCCGTGGAAAACGCTGGGGAGTCCAAGTCTACGCTGACAGAGCGGGCTCCTCCTGCATTGGAATCACCTCCCCGGTCCCTGGTCCTGGTGCACTGTGCCAGCACTGGACGGATGGCTGAAAACACAACACAAGGAGTTCTCCCAGCACCTTGGGGCACACGAGCACCCCAGCTTTATAGTGCAGGACACTGAGTGCTGAGAGGTTATGTTTCTTGCCCAACGTCAGACAGATCCTAGTGAGAAGCTGAGCGGGCTGTCCTCCACTGTCCCAGGCATCCCAGGTTCAGGAGGCCCCAGGGCGAGTGTGCTCCCCCACCTCTCTGCTCAGATGGTGCTCCGAGACTGGCCCTCCTGAGGTTGGCCCGTAAGGACTGGCAGCAGCAGTACTGTACTCGCTTGACAGGCTGCCTGCCTCACCAACACAGCACATCCTGCACCGCAGCACTGTGAACTCCGCCTCATCCTGAACACATCCAGACTCTGGGCCTTCCTCTCCGTCCCCTCTGCCACTCCGACCTTAGTCCCAGCAGAACCAACCAGTGATCCGGCCTCCCGGGCAGGCTCATCCGCTCACTGTTCACGGGACTATGGGACATTTTTCTGAGTCTCTGTTGTCTCGCCTGTAAAGTGAGAACGACTGGGGATTAAATGAGATCGTGTGTGGGTGTCATTTCTGCCTACGTGTGTGTGGAGGTATCTGGGATTTTTTTTCTAGGATGAGTCTAACGCTCTCTTCAGATTCTCACTGTGGGGTTTTGACAGCAAAGAAGTCAAGGCCCCCTGACCTAGAAAATCGCAACAGCCTCCTACCCAGTCTTTTCTCTTTACCGTCCCACAACCCACCTCTTCCCCCAACAACCTCCCAGACCCAGCCCTACTGTCCCACAACCCACCTCTTCCCCCAACAACCTCCCAGACACAGCCCTACTGTCCCACAACCCACCTCTTCCCCCAACAACCTCCCAGACACAGCC